GAATGAGCCTGTGATGGCAATTTGAGGCAAAGCTTTTCACAAATAATTATACCAATCGAGTTGTGCATGTCTTAAAAGTTTTTTTCTAAATAGTTTCGTACATATAAGTTAAAAATAATCTATATTTTTGGTCACGTTCTTATAGTAAACAGTCGTTGCTATGGCCGTTGCTACGTGAAAAAACTTATACCACTGTGTACTTTCCTTAAATTTCACACTCATCTGGAAGGAAATTCGGCAAGATCGTTTCAAAATGTTTTTGACAAGTCCTCAAGGGTCTTAAGTCTTGTATTTCCAAGTAATTGAATTTTTCATGAACATCACCATATTTTAGGGTATCATACCCCCTTAATCAGTATTAAAAGACGTAGAGGTGTACACGCCTGAAATTTCTTGTATGAAGGGAACTCCGTTCGTATTAAGCATAGGAGGAAAAAACAGCTCCGTAGTCATAAGATTTGAGATTTTGCTACGGCTTTTCGGGACCTTCGAGAAACTGGCCCCTGGCTCCCATTTTACGCCATCTCCCCTACTCCATCCCCGCCCAAGCCCATTCTAAAATTTTGCCTCGTTTATCTCAGAATCACTTGTGTGCCCAGATTTTCTACCTATAAAATTCCTTTCAATCTTTACACTCTCAATTCAAACACCAAGTATTAATTCTCTTGACTTAAACGCCTAAGAACACTTTAGGATTGGTCCATAGCTTGGGTTGAATCCAAGCAGTTCTCAAGGATAAATCGTGCTACATCACATGACGACCAATACGACACATGAGACGTGACTGCAGACCAGTAGTTACTTTCCATTTTTCCTTCTCGTAACGTGTAGTCGAGTCGCTCTTTCAAAACTGGAAGTGAAATAAATGAAAAATGACTACATTTAAAGAGGAGAACCACACTAGCCACAGAGGAGTACTGGAAATTAAAGTACGAACCGTGGACGAGTTTCTTCCCTGATCGCGCGAAAATTGGAGTGAGAGCATAAAATCGCAGAGAGGGGTGATGGAGCGCGCGATGGATCCCTTACGTGTCTTCATTCGTACGGGACTGCTTGCTACGCAAGCCTCTTCCGGGCGTTCAGTTAGTTGGCGCGGAACGCGAAAAATGGCGCATGAAAAAATAGGGGCGAAACACGGCGCAGGAAGGCTACTAGCACCAAGCCTCTCTCTCCTTTATTTCGCTCCGCCCCAACTGACTGAATGACAGAAAGAGGTCATTGCCACGCAGGCTTAATTTCGTGTAACTTAATTATCACTCAAATGAGGGAACTTACCTTTTGCTGGGACAGTGATGTGTTCCTCCTTCTTGGCTTGTTCGTCTTTCTTGGCGCCTCCATCAGTTTCCGACATTTCTTCAGATTCTTGACTCGAGTTACTTGACGTAGACGGCTTGGAAGATCCAAAGAGGCTGGCTATCCATCCCGTTCTCTTGGAAGAAGCGGACGAGCTCCCGTCTGTAACGGCATGCCCTTCGGCGCATGCGCCATTAACTAACATGAATTGAAAAGACAACAAGCATGGGTACAGATCTCGACCCTTAACATTGAAGTACCGTACTTTTTCCCATACACTTTGCCTTGAGGCAGGGGGTTAAGTCTATTCCAACTCCGGATATGAGCCTGCAGACCTTTCAACGTAACGTAACGTTCCGGTTTCCCCGGGACTCGTAGTTCAGTTCACCCGTAGTCATTTACACCCCAGAATGGAGTGAGGCACTGTTATAATAGTGTCCTAACAACAACAGCATTTATCTATACAAAAAAGGAAATAAAGAACACAAGCCTATCCAATAACTCAACTACAGCGCAATGACCCCAGCCAGGGCATGACCCAAAATAGAACAACCAATGCTTGATGCAGAAACAAAACCCAATTCTCGGAGACGGGATTCCTCGGCTCACAAGAATACATGTAGGTTAGATTTCTAGCATGTTGCATGACTTTTTTTCAAGAATCTTTTTTAATAAACCCTACCTGTTGTACTCTCCATGGACGCAGCGTTGTGCACAATCACAACGTCTTCCTCCTCTGTATTCTCCTCGCTGTTTGGACTCGCTGATCTGTCGTTGGCCTCTTCGTCTGTTTTCTGCTTGGAGAAGCCGACTCTATATGACGCAAACAGGCTTCCCCACTTACCATTCGGACCAGTCTTACTTGGCTTGGCATCAGAGTAGCCCGACTGCTTGCTGTCAAAGCGATGTAGTTGGAGTGGAGGAATGTTGGTGTACTCCATACTGATAAGTGGCTCTATGCGATAAGCCTGAGCAAAAGAAAGATAAGATAGATAGATGGATGGTTGGATGGATGGATAGATGGATGGATGGATGGATGGATG